CGGTCCCTGAAAAATTCCATGCAGCTTCCTGTAATTCAGCGAATAAATAGCCAAACATTTTTAATTAAGAACAGCCAGTCGGACTCTGTAACACGATATGTCAACAGAAGTTTTAGCAAAAGTTATCGATGGACTGATTTGCGCAGTAAAACAGCGAGCTGGTAAAACAGTGATGAAATTCAGATGAGTTTTTATACCGCTTCGGAGAGTGTATGTCCAAATATTTTGAATGTATGCTGTGTAGTGATGAATTCATTCTACTGTGGGAAATCAATGTGAAAGTGTCACACTTACAGCTGGAACAACAGCGGCGAAAATTTGCTCTTTGGGTATAATTTGATTTCCAATCATTTCCTGATGAAAATCAGTGCCAAGTTCGGTGCGGAACGTAGCCATTGGAGAAAGAGTACCAGAAGCGAGAATAACACTGCGGCATCCTTTGAATGCACTTATGTATGCCTAAAAAATATTCATCCGCATTTGCAGCACGTCAAAACTTACTGTTTCCCCTCTCACCTTCCCTCTTCGCCTCTTCTCCCACCAGTTCTTTTCATTTTTCCGCCAGTTTAAAAAGTCAAAGTCAGAAAAAAAGCTGCGCAGCAGTTTCCTACACCCTCTTGTTATCAATAACAAAACTTCACAGCCATCCCCCTCCCAACTTAAACTGCCGATCCTCTTTTTATTTTATGTGAATACGCATCACGTTTTAGCCCTAAGAACGATGTAATGAAAAAAGCACTGAAAACGAACAACAGAAGGACGCATGCACCAGAAGTTAACAGTTACGCGATAGCCACATTTCACTTCACGATAGCCTTTCAATCGCGACCTCGAATCCAACCACACTTCCTTGCCATTATCGTAACAGCTCATATCTAGCACCTCATTCTGAAATTGCATTTCCTTCTGAACAAACTAATGTCAGGCATTTTAACTTCTCTCAAAAAATAATCAGATTAGCAGTATGAACAATCGAAACAACTCGAAACTACTGGCGTAGGACATGATATGCAGGCAAAGGTGCAAAACACGTGCATTTATAAGAAGGTAATAAGATAGTTGTATGAATCGTTACAGATCCATCCACAATGGCCAATTCCTTTCTTTTTCCCTCATTTCCTTCCTCTCATTCACTCTTCCCCCTTCCCCGCCCCATTCCCCACCCCCACGCTTTTATACTATAAATGACCTGGAACTTTATCCGGGAAAGAAACAAGGACAGGGAGCTGAAACACAGATGTTTGATGGTTCGCTCAATACACTACTGGCCAAAGATATCAAAATTAAATAGGCATAGTGAATTTGTGTTAAATTACAGCTTTCAAATGCGTTTAAAAGCAGACACCCTGCTGAGTTATTTTCAGAAAAATTAGAAAAGTAAACAAACATTGGACATGGAGCTCGCAGTTGTCTCCAGGACATTGGCGCGTGAATACGACACGAATGGCTTGTCCACACATACAAATAACCTGCAATTGCATTGTCAGAAAACTTTCTTAGTTAGTACGGCAACAGCCTTTGAAGATGCCGAGAAATGCCTAGATGCTGAATGCAACTGTAAGAACGATTAGACTGTTATTCAGCACATCAATCAAGGCCTTTCCTTGAGGAATACTTGCCACCAACTGGACTGTCATTCAGCCATGTACGCTTATTATCTTTCCCGCGGTTCCTCACCGGCGTTGTTTCCCGTCTTACTGGGTTCACTCAGCGACGCTGCCTAAACAGGGCTATGCGTGTTTCAGTAAAAATAATGAAAACTAACTTATATGCAGTACGATTATCATCTTGAAAATATGACTTGAAAAAGTAGAGGAA